GGGCTGAAAGCCCTATGAAGCAGTATATAAGTCTAACTGCTATTGCTATTGCTAGTGGAGACAAAATTAGTAATTTAGGTGTAGCATGAATAGCCTCTTTCACTCACCTGTAGCGCCCCACTTTCACCCAGACCACTTCCTTATAGTGTGGCTTCTTGCCAGCCTTGCACTCATTGCAGTACCAGCTCCCCTCCGGCATGTCAATGCTCAGGCACTCCCGATGGAATGCAGCAGGGCACGACTCGCAGCACAAAAGGCTGCCACCTATAAGGACGAACGGTGCGTTATCACAGTCGTCAGAAGCAAGTTACCATCAGAAATAGGATTTATAATTAGAGGCCTTACAGCCAATGTAGCATGCAGGTACTTAATGCTACAACAACTATTTGTGCAAAGATGCCCTTGCAGGGCTTGGATTGCTTTTTAGACAGGGTCTTATTTTCTTTTGACTCTCCCCGAAATAAGCGCTTGGCTATACTTTCGGGGAGGTCTTATTATTTTTGAAGTGCAGGAGGCCTCTTAACCTCAGCCCACGGCTCGTGGATTGGCTGATCCAGGGAGGGCCAGAGGTTCTGTCTGTGTTTCTAGCACACTCTTGCCAACCCTAGTGTCGCTGGGCCTGCCGCTCTTTTTGCGTCCGCCATTAAGAGAAAGGGCGCGGTAGCTAGGGTTTGCAGAAGCAGCCTCCTCAAGGTCGTTCCACATGGATGGAAGGTGCATATGGGGTGTGTGGGGCATGTTTCCCCTTCCCCCCCCCCCAGGAAATGGCAGGGACCTGCTGTGCATGTGGTTAAATATTTTAGGGGAGGGCTTATTTTGGGGGGAGGGCTTATTTTAGCGCTTGCGCTCAAAAGACCGATTGGGCTTATTATCCAGGAAAATCTTATTTGCAGGGAAACGGGGTAGTTCACAAGATAATAAAGGAGTCAAGGAGGAATCATCCCTATACTTTTCAGGAAAGATGCAGAGTAAAACTTAACTGATATATAAATGAAGCTTCTGAGCAATCAAGCTCTAACTCATCTTAACATCTTACGCTGAGGCTTAGTTTTACCAGACTTTGCATGAGGATAATATTTAGGATATTTTTGCTTTATTCTTCTGATACACACACCAGAAATTCCCTCTCCTATCTTCAGAGGTGTCTTCCCAATACAACAGCAAAGGAGCTTTCATTAAAATACATACAATGCATCACATCCAGCAAACAATGCCTTACCTTCTGAGCAAACAAAACACCAGCTGACATTTACATGTTCATGGTTTCTACAGCCCCTTCGTGGGGTAAAATGATTGGGGCAGATAATGCTGTTGGAAGCAAGAATCACTGTCCCAGCAGCAAGGCAGAAATCATTTGAGTGGTATGCAACAGGGCACCGCACACAACGCATCAGGCGACCTAAAAAGAAATATATTGAATTGCAGTTCAAAAATTAATATGTCTGGGAAATAATAATAATAAAATTCAAATTTCAATTTTAAAAAACTCCATTGAGTCCTTAAATGTCTACAAATAAAACCCACATCTTGCTCCAAATTTGCTCCAGGTCGCCTGTATGTACCTTTAGATGCAGAAATATTAGCTGGGTTAGCAGCATGGCATGTCATGCAGATATGCAGTGAGCAGCGAAATCCCTTGTTCTGCATGACTGTGGGAGGATATTTCTGTATACATTCTTCATGATAGTATTTGCCACACAGAGGAAGTAAACAACGCTTTGCATTCTCCCCACTATTCTTGCATACAAAACACGTGTGAACTCCTAAAGGAGAAATCAAGAACAAGAGATAGGGGCATTCAAATACAGAAGCAACAACAACAAAAATTTATAATTAAGTAGTCGTCCAGAGAGAAGGTCTCAAAAGAGCTCAGATATGTTCTAAATCAGCCGACCACAAGGCCATCCGTTCCCCATAGGAAAAACCACTTGTTGGCAACAAGTTCAAACACTTACCTAAATATATAAGAACCTAAGCAATGCCCTGCTGGATTAGACCCCTGGACTATCTAGTCCAGCAGCTGTTGTCATAGTGGCCAGCCAACTTTACAAGGAAGCTCACTAGCCTCCAGCAGATGCTCTTCAGGGGCAGTCACAATGCCATCAAGGCTAACAGCCATTGTTCCCCATGCTTTCCATTAATTGGTCCAACCCTTTTTCGAAGGCTGCCAAGCTGACAGACAGCACCACTTGATAGTAAGTTCTTTCCATCCACCCAGTACTGTACCTGTGGAACACTCAGTGCAGATAAACTTGCCCTTCGGCATTTCTGAGAGCCCGAGGCACTGCAGGTGGAAAGCACCACAGCACTGAGCTTCACACAGCAACAATTCACCTGGCTTTTCACAGATCTGCATGTAAATGAACAGTATGTCACCATAAGCTGTTTTTTTTTGTATGTACAATAATATACAAAACCCCAGTTGAAACTTCATTTGGAAACATTCAACAATACTTTTTTTTTCTTAAGTATACAGATTCTTTTGTAGAAATATAAGCAATTTAGACTATTTCAAAAGTTAAATTTAAGTTCATCCTACAAGGCAAAATTTAGCTCAATTCCTCTATCCCCTTCCCCTGGCAAATGTGTTTACGTGCATTTCTTATCTACCATAAAGTCAATAGGAAAACATCTTATACACTGAAATATAAGGGAGCTAGCTCCCAAACAGAGAGGTCACTAAGCAAATAAATAAGAAGAGCAGACAGTTATTAGGCAGAGGAATTCAAAAGAGAGGAGGAAAGAGGCAGAAAAGAGGGAAGGGAAAAGTGGAAAAGTAGAAAAACAGGAGTGACTGGTGATTGATTGCAGCTTCTGCTGCTGGCTGCTTCCTGGATGTTCCTGTGTTTGCTTGCTTAATGTTTCCTGAGTAATGTTGGGGTGAAGCTGGAATTCTGTTTGCTGCGGGTATAGGTAGGGCATCTTCATAGGACATACAAGGAAGCCAGTTACTCAGAAACCAACTTTTGAAATTGTTTGTGGCTTATTGGAACATATAGTGAGGAACCTGCTCTCATAACCTGTAGGGGATGTGTCATATTTGGGCTTTTTTTTTTCTCCTTGAAAACACGTACATGCTATAAGTGTAAGATGACTGCTCCTTTGGAAGAGAAGGATAAATTATCTCTGACTTGGATTATCAGGGAAGATGGAGAACTTTTAAATCAGGCACAGGAAATAGATGCTGGGACTGCAGCATCAAGGAGACTCCCAGAAACAGCTTACTGAAAGAGGAGAAATAATGAAACAATTCCCCCCAATTTTTATAAGTCCTTGACTTATGACCAGTCACTTAATGATGATTCAAAGTTATAAGAGACCTCCCAAGGGATCTTACAACCTAGTTCTGAAGTTGCAACATCGCCTCACCCATGGTGACCATATTTTGGGTATCCAGCAACCAGCCCCCCTTTACAGCAGTTTGCAGCATCCTGCAATCACACGACTGCATTTTATAGTATGGGCAAACTGCCTTTTGACCATCGTGGCATATGACTGTGATGGACAGATTCCATTACAGTTGTATGCAGAGGATTTACCTGTATACCTGCTGAAAAATATCCCTTCCTAACGATCTACATAGGAACACATGATATAACCTGTCAGAGCCTTGAAGACACTATAAGGTGCTATGCTATATTGATAGGTTGAGTGAAGGGAGTGAAGAAACAGGTGTTTTCTTCACCTCAATTTGTAATGCAGATAGTATGGAATGGAAGCAATTTTTGATACTTCCAAGGTAAATGACACATTCATTCACGTATGAATGGGGAAGAAAGTGTTTACAAATCACTTTGCAACCCTCATCTGGAGAGCTTTAGACTGAAACTTACCAGGGATCCCAGAAAATAGCATGATGCCATGTATTGAGACCAAGAGGAATATGCAGGCACTCAATAATGAACAACTCAGTAGCAGTAAAATGGATCTCATTGACAGAAATCCTTAGATCAAAGACAGCGCAGAAAGGTTTGGGCTTTCTCAAAAGTGATTCTGGAAGTACTACTGCACACTATTCCATGAGGGCAGGGGGAATGGGAGCAGGAAGCTTAAGAAATCATTATGAATACATAGGGAGCTTTTAACTCAGTCAGGAGTTAAAACTAACAAGATAAAGGAGAAACAGAAGAGGAGAAATCAGCAAGGAGATAATCAACAAAGGCAGAAAGAATATTAGAAACATTAACATGCAAACGGAACAAGCTTGTAAGGGAAGCTGAACGCAACAAAGCAACTTTCAAGAATAAAAGATCATGTGGAGAATAATGATGATTATGATGACGACTTCAAATAATTCTGGGCAGTTTGCCAAGTACAAATAAGTTTTATTTGTAAAAGTGTACCTAGGGGGAAAAGAGCAATGCGAACAAAAGCAGTCACTATACAAACTCTCTCTAAAGAATTGAAGAACGTGGAGTGTTTCTGGTTGTCTAATTGTTTCAAGCCATCCTTACAGTTACTGTGATAGGACAAATATTGGAGGCTACTACCTGACACACATTCTCCTTGAGAGCAGCTCCTCCACCTCGCTCCCCCTGCATCTTTTTGGATGAAGGCAACCCAGGATCATTTTCAGAACCTTCCTCAGTAGTTTCCTTAGGGCTTCCAGCTATTCCATGAGATCTGTCACCCTTTAAAAAGAAGAAAAATAAGAGATTTTAAACAATCCAATCCCATATTTAATATATCCCTAGTGGTTTCCAGATGTTCCATTGGCCATTACACACATGAAAGTTTAATAAATGAGTTTAATTCTTCCACTCATCTGAACACTTTCATTTTAAAAATAAAACCAAGTAAATGAAAACAACCATTCAGAGCATAAAAGCGGGAGAAAACATTTTATAAAGTATATGATTTTTATACCAATATATAGTAAAAAAAATGAGACACTGTAAAGAATCTTGAAAGTGTCTTGGACTGCAAGGAGATCAAATCAGACAATCCTATAGGAAATCCATCCTGTTCTTTGGAAGAACAGGCACTAAAGCTGAAGGTCAAATATTTTGGCCACCAAATGAGAAGAGAGGACTTATTGGAAAAGACTCTGAGGTTGGGAGAGATTGAAGGGAAAGGGAGAAGGGGACAGCAGAGGATGAGATGGTTTAGAAAGTGTCGTCAATACAACAAACATGCGAAAGACAGTGGAAGACCGTGTGTGTGTGTGTGTGTGGCTTTTTGTGATCTACGGGGTTGCAAAGAATTGGACGTAACTCAGCGACTGAACAACTACAGATACTATTAGACACCACTCAAATTTCAGAACAAAATTACCCAGAAACCTCTAGCTTACCCTGGTCATGTGACTCTCAACAATATCTTTTAAAATTAACATGATTAGGATTTTTAAAGCAAGTGCCTACTTTAGCAGGGAAATATTTGTTGGCAAAACAGTATTTATTAAAATGTCCCTTCTTATGTGTTGTTGTTATAAATATAACAAAAATTTATTCCTCAATGGAAAAGCAATCAAAATTGCAAAGTCACTTCATACAGAGCTTAGTAGTACCTCTGTGTTCAGAGTTTCCTCCTGGGTATTGTCACTCTTTTCTTTTTTACAGGAAGTTACTGCCAAGCTGCGTCGCTGACGTTTTCTCTTCCTCTGTTTCCCAGGAACTTTTTCAGGAGCTGCAGCAAGGAAGACCACACACCTGGAACTATATGGAATTAACTTCCCCCCAATACAATTCTGGCATCCCTGGTCCTCAGAACTGAATACCATAATCCAACCTTGGGCACCTTCTGCTAATGGAGCAAAAACTTCTACAAATTTTGATTCCCCTTCATTGACTATATTTAGACAGTGTAATGACAATGTATATGTATTCCATATTTTGGTTTTAACAGTTTGAAAAACGAGTCTGTCCATTTGCAAACAGCACACCCTACTTATTCTGTAGGACCATTGTGCAACAAACAATTTATCTGTTTATTACTGTGAAATAATTACCTAAAAACCGATCTTTATATTCAGAGAACAATAGCGGGGCAGTGTTTTAAATAAGCAAATGGATAGAAGTTACAAATAATGCTGCTGAAAAGATGTGACTTTGAAGTCATTGCTTGGTACACACTATTTGCTTGGAAATTTTAACTCTTTTAGCAGACCACTTCTCTGCCTAGTAACCTCTTTTCTCTATAGTATCATCTCTATAGTATTTTGATGTTCCTTTTTTCTGCTTCCATTCTTAATGCAATTGTCCTTCCATCATCTTTCTCCTCCTCCTTACTGTTTTTGCTGGAAGGAGAGAGAACATGAGAATACCGGACCATTTCTATGAATGAAAGCAAATAATCAAACAAATGTGGAATTATATTTTTCCTACCTATTCTTCCTTTGTGGGGAATGTTCGTTTTTAACACAGACAGTTTACGTCTAGATAAATGCAGTGGTTTAAAAATCTCTTTGGAAACCACATATCAGAATTAAGGAATCACCTCAATTGACTGTGGATGTCTCATCCTTTAGAACATAAACAAAAATAGTCTAGTTTGGAACAGAATCTCTCAAAGTTAAGTCAAAGAAGACTTCTAATTCTCACACAACATTCTTCTCAGGATGACTTCTATTCATATTCTTCCTATGTTCATGTTTTGTTCATGTTTTTGAATGTTCCTGAATTATTCCTCAGAATGTTCTTGAGGAATTCCAGGTAGACCCAATATTTCATTTAAATCAGTTCAGTCTAATGAGATAAAAATGTTCTTTTTATTGATCTCGGTTTATACTTGGTTCATATGAAGATACTTACGTTCACCATAGATGATGGATTCTGAGATGCAATCCCAAACCCTGGCTCACTTTAATATTATTTACTTATGTATGCATTTCTTACCTTCGACAGCATTTGAAAGCCGAGATGTGGAATAAAGCTCAGGCATTTCAGTATCCAAAGGACCAGCCTCAGAACACTGTGGATAAGCACCATTGATAATTTAGAACATGAAAACACATTGTTCTACTTTACTAAGTTTGTCTAAAAAAGCAATTCCAGTTGACACGTTACACATTTTTTAAAATGAGAAAGATGCAGGAGTGGGGCTGGACAGTCGGATGCCGTGAATATATAATACATAATGTATTATTAATTTCCCAAATATTGAAAGGTCAGATCCTAAAATCCCAGCTCCATTCCTGCAGCCGGTCAGAGTAATTCAGTCACATGGGCTAAATGACCATTATGCTCAATAACCGAGATTCCAGTCCCAGTTGTGGTCATAAGTAAGGGACTACCTGTTCAACATACAACAGTAAAAGAACTGTAATAATCACTATGCAGGAAAGATAGGCAGAACACTAGCAGAGTGCATCCATGAATACCAACTAGCAGTAAGAAGACAGATTAAAAGTTCCTTAAACTTACAACGTATAGACTCAACAATGGTTTGTCAGCCTTCTAGACCAAGGTAAATCCAAAAACATGACAGAATTCCTGGAAGCTTGGTATTTGGTCAACAGGCACATAGAAATAAACAATATTACACACCATTCAAAAACTAAAAAGAAAAATCAGACCAGAATATCTCCCCAATCAATATCCAGATAAATAGATATTAACATCAGGAGTAACACCAGACAAATAATCAAGCAGTAAAAAATGCCCTAATCAAGGAACTAGCAACTTAGAAAAACAAGGCGCAAACAAGAGCCTAATCAAAGCACTAGCAAAAAGAAAATAGCACCCCCACTAACATTGACAGGGAAAACCACTGTCTAGCAGTATATATATAACAGAGCAAAACTCCACTTTCTTCTAGCACTGAAATTTCTGCCAGCAAGCATCCAAGTTCAGAGAGCACCAACAATTCCATACTAAAAGTATCTCTTCCCTCCCTTACTTTTACTCTCACCCAAAAACTAGGAATGGTCCTTTCTGGGATGCTTTTTCCACTCACACCCCTCCCCTCTGGACTCAGATTTCATTGCGAATGCCCAATCACTGATATCTGACTCCGCCTAAGAGTGGGCACAATTCACAAAACAGTTCAGTTCCAATCCAGGTTTCTTTACCAAATAGTTCACAATTCAGATCACCATGTCATAATGTAACCTCTGTCTGTGTATACATGTGTGTTTTAAAGAATACGCAATGGAAACGCTATAGATCATCTTCTGAAATACATTACATGGATTTTTCCCCTCTGCTCTTATGCGTTAATTAAACATATGCTGTCTAAAATGTCATACTTCTGAAATTTATTTAGTTATTATTATTATTTTTTGAGTGGCATGGTGGCCTAGTGATGAAGTCTTGGCTCTCACTCAAAAGATTGAGAGTTTAATCTTAGGTAGTGGCATATATTTTTCTCCTAGGGCACAAAGAAAATATGAGCCTCAGTGGCGCAATGGTTAGAGTGCAGTACTGCAGTTACTTCTGCTGACTGCCAGCTGCCTGCAATTTGGTGGTTCAAAGCTCACCAGGCAGTTGACTCAGCCTTCCATCCTTCCGAGGTGGGTAAAATGAGGATCCAGATTGTTGGGGGAAATATGCTGACTCTGTAAACCGCTTAGAGAGGGCTGTAAAGCACTATGAAGCAGTATATAAATCTAAGTCCTATAGCTATATCAGCTGCACACTCTGTGTGGCACCAGGAAGGGCATCAGGCTCAGTTCCATCCAGTCGCCCCAACTCTATTCCTAATTAAGGGATTACAGAGTCGCAAACAAGGAGTCTTATTGATTGATCAAATTTATATAGGTGCATAAGGCAACTATGGGTTATGCACAATAGCTTACAACAGAACATAGAAAACAGGAAGTACAGGTATAAAAACAACAATAATAAATATCATAACAACTAAAAAGATAAGTGAAGGAGAATTAAAAAACAGCTCCTTAACAATGGAGCCATCTACAGAACTCTCTGGTTCCATGGAAACCCCAAGCCTGGTCACATAGCCAGGTTTTGAAAGTAACTGATTTTCAGAGTAAATGATAATATTTTAAGAATTATTTTTAAGCTGAAAGAAATATCAACTTACCTTCTTTATAGAGGTCCACTCTCTCTTTGGTATAAATGTTGTATCCAAATCATTGGATTCTAAGAGCTTTTTTGTTGGCTTTCGCTGGCGCTTACTCTCAAAGCTTCCTACAAAAAAATGTATATATAAAGCAGTGACTTCACTGGATTAAAAAAAGCAGCATCAAACAACTAAGAACAATGGCATCATTTATTAAGCTTCTTCATAACAGAAGGAAGAAAAGCAAGAATAAATAAGATATCCCAAATTATTCAACTGCAGCTGCAACTCTGGTAATTACTGGTGAATGAACTCCTTGAAGCCCAATCCCCGTGCTTTCCTGTTTCTCTATTATAAAATCTAAAACAAGTAAAAATGGCAGCATTTCCACTTGCACAATCCATTTGTGAGCGAAGTGCTATTATGCAAGGTCCAGTTCGAGCAATGAATGGGTTAATGCCCTTGGGCTGCAGAGAACTGGATAATTTACATTCTCTTCTACCACGTATGACCTTGGAGATTCACTTCCTCTCAGCCCTAGGAAAAAGATAATGGCAAACCACTTCTGAAAAACCTTGCCAAGAAAACTGCAGGCTCAGGCAGCCTTTCAGAATTGGACAGGATTGAATGGGGAAAAAACTCCAATAATAAATTCATTGCAAATAAATCTCATTGTATTGTTTTCATTGTTAATTTGTGTTCATTTTGGTGTTTGGATTTTATGGGGACTTGTGTACATTAAGATTATGCTAAAGTGATGTTCAATGGCAAAACATTTAGGGATCCCTCCTATACAGTGGTAAAGCTCTATACTCTTAATATACTGCAAACTGGGCTCCTAAGCACTTATTTTATGGACCTAAAGCAGGAGTGTCAAACTGGCGGCCCACGGGCCAGAGGTGTCACATGAACACATGAAGGCCATGCCCACCCCACCTCCACGAATGGGAAAAACATCACAAAATTTCACATGATGGCAATATGACATTGCAAGTTTGATACCCATGACCTAAAGGGTCTTTATCTGTGGATTAATGGCTCTTGGAAAAAGGCAAGATGTAAGAAAAACTAAAGCCAAGTCCAACATGAAAAATTACAGATCTGCCTGGATTCATGGTCTTCTTAACAGGCTGTTTTACCATAACTAGTCTAACTAGGAAGTTAGAAAATGTAAGAGTACTACAGTGATTTTCTTATGCTTAGTTGAACAGAAATGCCTGGAAACAATAAAGCATAATGCATTCCATATACACATTAAAATGTTTTGCAATGTTCACATAGTAATTAATGTAAAACATTACAAAAAAAAACCTGTTATAAACTGACATTTTTCTTTATAAGCTACAAGTCTGAAAATTGTGTTTATGCATTTTGTCAGAGTTAAAAAGCTTATAAACATTGAGGCAGACAGAATTATATACATAAGTAATATTTTTGAACAAATAAAATTGTGAAGTGGAATGCTTCCAAGAGAATAATTTACACAGCTTATAAAAGTTTACCTTTCTCGAAACCTTTAATTTTTAAATGTTTATGGTACCTGTTTTGATGCTGATTTTAACCTGGGATGGGATTTTTGTTTGTTTGTTTAAATTATGCTACTTCAGTATTTGCCTGGGTGGAAAGGCAAGGTATAAATGAAATCCATCCAATAAATACTGCATGCAATATCTTGGGTTTCCAAATGGAGTTACACAGAAAACGTATCTTGATACCTGGTTTGACTATTGGTTCTTCTCCCTGTGCGTGAGAATCTGGAGCAGAGGCAACAGATTCCAACACGTCTGCTGAAGATAACGTCAAAACTGGCATTTCTAATCTGGGTTCCCTGGACTGGACATCAGACTCCTCTGACAGAGGACGCTCGGCTTCAAGGATGGGAGGAGATTCTTTTAATGAAGAAGAGGATGAAATGGAGTCCAAGGGCTTCTTCTCAAGAGGTTTATTACATGCTTGTTTCTCAATGCTGCTTTTCTGTTTGGCTTCAGACTTCTCCAGAGAACTGGTCTATTAGCAATGACCAACAAAGAGATAGTGGTCAGAGCAGGAATCACTGCTAATCATGAGCAAAGTTACATAAGAGATTACCATATTTCAGCATATTTTAGATAATAGTCAATGAAAATAATGCTTTATTTTGGCTCTACTAGTGGAAGAAGTTATGCAGGTATACAATAAAGTCTTCTTTTTTAAAACAACAACAACAATATAAGATTAAAATGAGAAATAAGAAAGGCACAGTATTGCCACTATTTGGTATTTCCATAACTAATATTCCTTCGCTCCCCCTATAAATTACACCCCATGATACAGTATCGTTAGGCTAGGGGTTTCTCTAACTTTCTTCTCTGTCCACAACAACCATTAAGTGGGAACGAGGGAAGCAATAAGTTGATGGCTTTGGATCATGGAGAGCCAATAGACATTTCTAAGAACGAAGGAAAAAAGGAATCATGGTGATGCTATTTGCAGAAGCAAATCCCTATGTTCCTTAAGATACATGCTTAAAAAAAATAAGATGTATAATTTTAAAATTACAATTGGTTTATTTTATTGTTTTTAATGATGATTTCAAAAAGTTATGTATTGGGGGGGGAAACAGATATTAAAACAACTAATTAATACTTTATTCATTCATGACCAAATGTATTCCCCTCATCCCTAATTATAATTTGAAGAACTACAGTAATCTGATTGTAGTTTAGAGATTAAACTTGATGTACTCAAAATAGATAGGCAAATACTATAATACTTCTGTGAACAATTTTCTGATTGGTAATATACTCAAATCCTATTCCTTCATAGGAAACAAACATGTTATAGAAGTTGTTTATAGTTTTTTAAAAAAATCTTCCTTTACAGAAGAAGTCAAATATTTTGGGGTGTTTGTGTCACTTGTTATTTAACGTCCATTCTTCCTCATTCCTACTAGAGACAGTCCTTGTTTAGTGCAATTTGGACCACCAAATTCAGTTGTTAAGCAAAGCCATCACTAAGTAAAGCCAAGAGTGATCTTACAATCTTACTTCAGCTTTTCTTTGTTTTACAGACCTGCAAAAGTTGTTAAATGCAAGGACTGGTTGTAAAGTTATTTTTTCATTATTGTCCTGTGAATAGTCACTAAATGAGACAGTCACCAAATTACTACCTGTATATTCACACATTATAACAACAAAAACTATAGTCAAAAGAGGAAAATGCTTCTCCCCACTCGATACACTTATTCCTATTTTGAATTCTAGTCCTAATTTTTTAGCCATAAAGAGTTTTCTCCATTTTTCATAAATTCTTAGTTTGATTCAACACCCACCTTTTGAAATGATTCTTGACTCTTTTTTTTCTTCTTTGATGCAAATATGTGATCATATTCTTCCGCATATTCTAGAAGCCTCTTACTTGGTTTTCTAAGGCGCTTCTTCTCTGCATTTACAACTGAGAGAAGAGAGAAACAGCTTCATAGACTTCAAAAAGGAACAATGGAGGTGGGATAGAATCTTCCATTGTAAAATATCACCATTGTCTTCTTCATCATCATTGCAAACTCTTTTTAAAATTATTTTTATGTATCTTTGCCCCAGTGGTGAAATTCATTTTTTTTACTACCAGTTCTGTGGGCGTGGCAGGGGAAGGATACTGCAAAATCTCCATTCCTTCCCCACTCCAGGGGAAGGATGCTGCAAAATTCCCATTCCCTCCCCACTCTGGGGTCAGTCAGAGGTGGTATTTGCCATTTCTCTGAACTACTCAAAATTTCCGCTACCAGTTCTCCAGAGCCTGTCAGAACCTGCTGAATTTCATCCCTGCTTTGCCCTCTAAACATCAATTTTATTTCTTCAGAGAGGATTCCATCCTCATTTCTTTTAGTCCCACAAGTCTGGAAAACAAATAGGATTCAGCCAGTAGCTTTATCATCCTGTCTTCAAGTTTGCCTTTTTGGAGTTACTCTTACACCTGGCCAGAATCTCATATGCTATGGTATCCACAATGGCCATGCTACTGAACTCTACCTTATAGGGTAAAAGCTTTTGATGATGATGTAGTGGCGACATAAAGAAAACAGTTGAGAATATTTGCATTAACATAAATGTCTGATCTGAACAATTAATCAGTTGAACAGCTTGCCTCCAGAAGTTGTGAATGCTCCAACACTGGAAGTCTTTAAGAAGATGTTGGATAGCCATTTGTCTGAAACAGTATAGGGTTTCCTGCCTAGGCAGGGGGTTGGACTAGAAGACCTTCAAGGTCCCTTCCAACTCTGCTATTGTATTATTGTATGTAAGCAGTCACCCATCATATTAAGTATTCACCTTGGATCAGCTGCTGGTAATCTATGCTTGAGGATGGGACTGGTAGTATTTGCCATGGCTAGATCACTTACTGGTTTGCCTAATGTTAGTCATCACCTAAAAATTCTGCAGAGAAGGAGAACCCTTAATATTTTACGGATTTGCATGGATTTCAACTGACCATGGTGATTGATAAGATGGCTTTTGAGTGCTCTCTCTCCCTGTTCATTCATCCCAAGGTACACAGTAATTTACTAAGAAGTTCTGGGAAATGAAACACCAGGACCATTGGTGAAGAAACATAGAAGTGGGTTTAAACAAACCTGGTACAAGCTCATATTTGAGTCTATACTATAGTGATTAAGCGTGGTGAAGTATTCTTATTTGTCTTTATTGTGGTGGCAGGCTGGGTCCCAGCAGTATTGTTCAGTATGACCCATTTACTTTTGTCTAGCAAGAGTGAGGAAAAACTGCCCACAAGCTCAAAACATTTTGCCTATAAAATTAAACTCACTCAAAACTAGATGCCAAAAGGGTAGAATCAATGGAGGCAACAGAGGTAAGCATCTTGCAATGTTATATATAGTTTCATTTCATTCTGAGCACTCTGGGGAAGTGGAGAGTATCAGTTCTCCCACATGTGAATGGAAATCCTGCCTGACCTGGCCCCTTCAGGAAGAAGGTAAGGGGTTATCAGCTGTGTCAGGAAGGTAAAGCCAAAGTTGGTGGAAGATTAGTATTATCCTCCTTGAAAAAGTGCCCCTGCTCACAAAGAACCCCTCCCTTGATTTTGCCATGTTAGAAAACTGTTATCCATTTTCAAATGCCCCAATTCTGGGGAAGGTTATGATAGCAACTGCAAAGTGTCCAAGACAAATTGGATTATCTGATTCCTTTCAGTCAGAATTCAGGTCTCAGCAAGCAGCAGAAATTTCATGGGATGATCTACAAAGGAATCTGGATGGGATAAATTGTGTCCCTCTTCACCGTTTTAGACTTCTCGGCAAAGGTCAACCCTACAGACTATAGAGAACCTTTCAACCATCTTAGAAGTATTGAAATTCTCCTGTCTCCCTTTAAGGTTCCTACACAGGATGTGCACACTGGATCAATAGCCTCCGTATGAAGTAGTTGATTCTGCAGGTATCCAAGTCCCAAGCTATATGGATTTTATAAGTTAAAATCAACACTTAAATTCACCTAGAAATCTACTGGTACTGTAATTAATGCTGAGCCCACAAAACCAATATAATGTGCAAGTAGCTACCTCCAAACACTACATTAGGTAAAAAGTGCAGAAACTTATTGTTAGGCAGGATCAGCTTTTTGCAATATTACCTTGTTCTACTAAAACAATAGCCTATATGATGAAATTTTAAATCAAATATATCTTGCAATGCATATTGCAAGGTCTATTTTCAACATGAAGTAGAATTACTAGACTAAATCTGAGGTCATTTTTGGGAGCAACCTAATTATGAATGTGTTTAATTTACTTTTTATAAAACAGCAGGTAGAGATGCAGTTTATGATAGCAGCCTATTAACTCCTAACCTTATTCATACAAGCACATATGTGTGAATATACATTTCATATATAAAGAAGGTACAAATTAATATCTATGGCATTATCAAACTATAACTGACCTTTATCCTGCTTTCTGCACCTTCAGATCTCAACCTACCTCCACATGAGCCATTACTGAAATGGGAATATTTTAACCTCCTGTGGAGATATTCTTTTCAATGCTGCCTCAGTTAAAAAACAAAGCAAAACATAAAATACATTCTACTATATGAGAAGAGGAGAGCTGTAGTTCAGCCCAATGTTTTCAGTTCTGTTTGCCTATTTGCAGAGGTTCTTCAAGTAAAGATATTCATATAAACTATAGTTAATAAATTAATTCCTTATGCATTAAATAATACTTCTCTTTTGTCATATTGATTATTATAGTCTGGCAGAACTCAAGCAACTATTTAAGATTTGGGGTACCGCATAACAGGCAACCCCAAGGCTGGACATGAATAAGTGAACACTTAAAAATACAATCTACAGTCCATGGATTGAAATGATACAGACTAGGCGTGTTATCCCTGGGCTGCAAAAATTGAGGCAACACTAGATAGCAGCAAAGAGATTCAGAATTATTGCCTAATTGTCATCTGGGTATGTGCAGCCCAAATTCAGTACATTCTACATCTTATACTTCTTAACATTTACAACAGACACACTAAAATTCCTGCCATTTTGAATTGCTTATAGTTCAGCTGGGCTTGATTCCACAAGTTTCATTTGAAAATAATATCCTTTTTGCAAAGTAAAAAAACAAACAAACCTACATTTCTTTCTTTTCTTATTTGGACAGCTGTTGATTTGACTTCTAAAAACTAGAAGCCTAAATTAACCTCAAAAGAGGAGAAGTGTTCAAAAAGTTCAATACAACATAATATATGCCAGGCTATTCTCTAAGATTTTCTCTCCTATCAAAGGTAGCTTGCTTCTATATCTTTGCAACACTTAGTTCTCACAACCTACAAATGAGACAATAAATTTAACAGCTGTACCAAACTACAGGTACAGGCACACATTTTTACTACATGATCCTTGTATTAACAAACAGAAAATTATCCTGGAAACTTAGATGTCAAAGAACCAAGTTCTAGCCCACCTTTTTAAAAATGATTTTTTTTTTATCTACAGGATTTCACAGTAAATTCCACCTGCAGCTATAGGAAATCAAACAACCCACTTGCAGTTCTTATTATAAACAAGAAAACATTACTCAGCTAAAAAGTTTTCACAAACTTTGCCTGTCTTATTTAATCACCCTGAAAAGCAAGGGCAGATCTCCACTCAATCAAAATTGTTTCGTTCAGTACCAGCCAAAGATGAACAAAATATTTTCCCTCCTGTTTCCCTAGAACTACCGATGTGCTTACCAGCTTTAGAACTGCTTTGGTTAAAACGCTTCCATCGCTTTTTGGGTGCTACGTGGCTTACATCTTTAGACTCATCCCCCAAGGAGCCTTCTCTATTCAGTCCTGTTTCCAACTCTAGGCACTCCCCATTTTCAAAGGGCCTGTAGCTCTCTTTCTTTTTACCAGATTCTGACTTCATTTTTACATGAACTAAACTGCCATCAGAGGAACTCGAAGAGTCTTCACCAGGAGAATGTTGGATCAACTCCCAAGGTACTTTCCTTGCAAAATCTTCCTGGGTTTTGTCTAGAGATCTAGCAACTGAGCTTAGGGTAGCTCTATGCTGGTGGGACACTCTCCTTGCTGCACTGAATAAATGTTTTAATGATTTGCTCTTTGATGTTGTGTTAACTATTAGTTTAGATAGTTGCTTAGATTTTGGATAGCTGCGCCTTGCGGTGCAGTGTGTATCAGCTACAGCCGTATTTGCGAGTTCCCTTTTTTTAGCACCAGGATTGATCAACTTGGTTGTGATATCATGTGAAAAAGAGGACTGACCTTCTTTGGGTTTAAGACATTCTGGTTCTTGAGCACTTTCTTGATTTTTTTCTATTTTAGGAGTTGCTCCCATTGTAGTCAAAGGTGTCAAATCACTCGGAGTATTACTTCCAGCACTTTCCCCATTGCTAGAACCTCTGTAGGAGACAATGTTCTGCGAAGTCATGATCTGTTTCTCTTTTGTCTTACTGTCATGCATATCTTTCAACATCATTAATAAGGTGCTGAATTTGTAATCAGGCTCAATAGGCAAGTGATTTTGCCCAGAGACAGATGAAAAGAGTAGGGGCACCGTAGTCTTAGGCGGCCCACAGTCTTTAGCTTTATCATTCATGGACCTATAGGACAGCTCTTTCAGCTCAGAAAGTACATGTTTCACAACAGCTGTTTCTATTTCAGCAGAATCATGAGATTTCTCTCTGGTGCTGTTTGGCAGTTGAGAGCCATCAAGCTTCCCACTTTTGGCAGGTGTATCTAGTTGAAACCCAGGAGCACCTTTGGTAGTAGAAAAGCAGCTGTCAGGGATACATTCCTCTTTCTTAAGAGATGATTCTGTGGGGGTGGTAGCAGCAGCAGATCCTTTGTGTTTGCATTTTGTAGTTCTGAATTGAAGCTGTTCAATATCCATGTGACTTGTAAACCCTTTACTTTGGAGTGTAGTGTGCTTATCTACCATGGTAAGATTGTCCTTCCTGTAAGCAGATGCCTTCCTCTCAGCTTCAAAGGATGGCTGCTGGAATTGCTTGTCTCCTGCTTCAACATTGGCATTCCTATCTAAAGAGCCTTCCAGAGGTTTCTGATTTCTACTACTACTTTTGGAGAGAGGTACAGGACGTTTAATGCTTCTCTGTCCCAAAGACAGTTCCTTTCCTCCTTTGTTTATAGAGTCACAAATTTTTAGATCTCTATATGCTGCTGCAATACTTTGGTCAAGAGGCTCCAGATCGCAGATACCATCAGAGTCCATTTCTTTTTTTATCTCATTTCCACCTTCAGTTCCAGAATATGGCTGCTGTTGTGTTGAACTGGACATGAAGCCTGAGGGGCTTTTCATTTTCTTCAAATCTATTTTGGGGGGTTCAAGTTGGCAGTCTCTTTGAGAGACATCATATTCTGCTTTTTTAGATTTATTTTCAAATTGTCTTTCTCCAAAAGAAGAGAGCAAATAGTTTTCCACTGTACATTTGGAACCCATAAGGCTTTCTGCTGCTCTGCAAAGTTCATGAGATGCCTGCTTATCTGGCATGTTTTCAGAAATTGTATTTTTAACTTTGCTCATTGGCACTTCCCCTTCACACTCTCTCTTAATGTTACATTTCTTAATTCTATTCCCCTTCCTTGCATCAGAGTTCTTCCTCATTTGTGATTTAGTGAATTTTTTCCCTTTATCATGGGACAAATGTTTAGAATCAAATGCTAATGGTTTCAAATATCCATTCAGATGCCTGCTCTGCTCGTTTAAAGAATCCTTTTTACACGATCCCATTAAATGGATACTCTCCAACTTGCTAGAAGTCCGGATACATTTTTTCATGCCATTCTGCTTAAGATATTCAGTAATAAGGCCGACACTGATCTCCCATTTAGCCATTAATTTCTTAGGAACCTTAAAAATGAATGGAGACAGGACAAGAGGAAATTAGAAAATAAATACTTATATGCAAATGATATTATCACACTAAGAGATTATCATACTTTCCTTCACAAAGTTTATTTGCAATGTATAACAAAATATACAACTCAGATTTGAGCAGCATTATTACATTCAGATAACTTGACAAATACTGATCCTAAATGAAACCTAATGGAATTGTTAAGAATTCCATTGGTCAGCCTGGAGTACTTCAAGTGAAACAATCCCCTGGACAGTTAATACTACTACTTTTGCACTGGAAAAAGGAATGCAGGGCTAGGAACTAGAAATAGACGAGTTCTTACTGGATTCATTATTCTAAAATAAGCCCCATCCTGGTCATCTTATCCTATACCTGCACTTCCAAGGCAAATGCTTTATCATTAGAAATATTGTGACTTCTTCTCAAAATTATCAGTTCTACTGTTTTATTAAAAAAGAAAATGAAAAAAATGCCATTTTCTAATTTATTTTAGGCGGCTCTATGAATATACCAATACATATAACATTATTCTACTAACAAGTTTCAAGTCTCAAATTATATAAATGATTACAGCTTGAAAATGTTATGGCCATAATCAAAACAAAACTGACATCCTACTAATTTCAATGAGGTATTTATGCAAGTGATTTCATTCCAACTGCAATCTATGCTTCTTTCAATAATAGTTCCTTTTGGCTGGATCCTTACTTATGTGTTATATTTCAGCAAGAATCCTAAACACAGTACATGCATGAGAACAAGAGATTTACCTTGTGCTTGTAATCTTTCTCTTTCTGTTTCCCTCTTTTCCGAAGGATAGGTAGTTCTTCAAACTGATGTCTTCCTTCAAAAATCACAATACATTTTCCCATCACCCAGGCTCTTTCAGATGGATCGCCCAATACTTCCACATGATACTCTCGATATGGCTTGCGGTTAGTAACTATTGAAATAAAATTAGTTATATTTACATTTTGTACTAAGTTCAGAAAAGAACGGCCTGAAACTGCCAATTTAGGATTAGCAAATGGAGCCTAAAATAAGTTACTGAAACACATGTTCACTTTATTATAAGAGAGTCCTTTGCACAATTTCTGTTAGCTTTCTTTTAGAATCAAGAGCTCAAGGGAAATACATTAGACTTTCCAAATGCACATCCCCAGAACATTTCATGACAAGTAAGAATGTTCTTTTCTACCTGTGATTTTATTTATTAAATATATTTATTTATTAAATAAGTGTATATGGCAACCTAATTCCTAATTGTTGTAATCTGCTCAGTCACCTCGCAGCAAGATGGGCAACAAACAAATTTAATAAATAAATAAAATAAACTCATGCACAATGACACTAGGTAATTTGCAAAATGAAAATTTCACAACATAAGAACCCATAACCCCCATCTCCACCCATGTGGGATGTAAGAAACCATATCACCCTCCTTATATTTAAAGATGTGTTTCAATAAACTTCACCATTCTCAGCACTTTTTGATACCTTTCAACTTGCTCCCTAATAGCATCAAAGTTCACTATTAAAAGACGTAAACCAAACAAATAAGCCTTCCTTTCTTTAAATATCCTAAGAATTGCTCCAAAGCAATCCCAATGTTGCTAGAGGCTTTATTTTAATAGGCGCTGCTTATCTCTAAAATTAAAAGAGTCAATTTGACCTAGTGGTTAAGGTGCTGGCCTAAAAACAGGAGCTCTAGTCTTGCTTTAAGCATGAAAGCCAGCTGGGTGACTTTGGACCAGTCATTTCCTTTCAATCCAACCCGCATCACATGGCCTGTTGTTATGGAGAAAATTGTTGGAGGAAGGAGTATTGCATGTGTTTGTTGCCTTGAGTTATTTGTAAAATAATAAAGGCAGAATAAATATAATAAATAAATATATCTCTACAGCTACTGCTTTATTTTATTAGCAGGATGCAGTCAGTCTATGGTAGTTAATTCACAGGTCATCTGAGGTTTCTTTTTCTCCATATTAAGCTTCAACTACCCCTATTAGCCAGAAGTGGTGAATCCATGCAGGGTCAGAAATTGCTGAACCGCAAACTGGCCCACAACATGGCCAATGAGGTGGACTACAGAGCAGTATTCAGCAACACTGGAGGATCTCCAATTACTACCTGCAGCATAGCAAGACATTTTGGGGACAAGAGGCAAGACAAAGTTAACCCTTTTCTCCTTCTCCAACAAGAGACCTTGAAAACTGCTTTTTCCTTTTGGCCATTTTTTTAAGTCTTCCAATGGAAACAGTCTTCTTTTCCATTGGGGAAAGTGTGTGGAGAGGAAGGTTCAGGAAAAAATGAGCTTAAACCATCCATTTCCAGGAATCTATCCTTCCCACTCCCCTTTTCATTATTATGAGATGGCTATACTGTATGTCTTCTTTCTTCTTCTTCCTAGCATTATTCTTTAACAACATTGAACTAGGAGTAAAGAGATAACTTTTCCCCCTATCTCCTTTACTCCAATAGAGGTACTCCTCAAATTAAAGACCAGAATTGGGACTGGAAATTCTGCTGTTAAACTGAGCATGGTTGTTTTCTTGCAGACATTAACCAAACGAAGTCCCAAAGGTGCTTTCTCCAATAGGCAACTGGACTTTCTTTGGATTTTTCTTTGAAAACATTTTGCTTCTCATCCAAGAAGCTTCTTCAGAACTGAAGAAATGTTCAGTGAAATGTTTTCAAAGAGAACAAAACCCAAGAAAGTCCAGTTGTCTAATGGAGAAAGCACCTTTGGGGCAACCATGACCTGGATTATTGAGAATCTCCATAGACATTTACCCAAATGAAGGTAAAATCATTAGTGATGTTCATCATTTGCACAGATGACATTATCTAGTTTGGGTAATGAAACATCTGCAAGAAAGCAACCAAGCTCAGAGAGCATCAAGAACCCTTCCTTTCAACCCTTAGCTACAAGGTGGTTGTTAAATGTATCATGCTCGATTTTATAACCTTTTTTCCCTACAGTTAATGAATCACCTCATTGGTTAAGTGAATCACATGGTTATTAAGCAAATCTGGCTTCCCTCACTGATTTTGCTTGTCAGAAGACAGCAAATGGGAAGGCAACAAATGTCAATCATGTAATCCTGGGATATCACAATTTTTATAAATACTTGCCATCTGCCAAGCACCCAAATTTTGATCATATGACTACAGGGATGCTATGATGGTTGCAAGTGGGAGAACCTGTCATAGGTTGCTTTTTTTATAGTTTGATTGTAACATCAAACAGTTGCTAAACAAATAGTTGAGGACTATACATACTCTGTCCTACAATTATTTTTTAAAATATGATTGTTCTGCTGCCCCCTTCTATTGTAAAGTTTATTTTTTAAAGATATGCACTTTAAAAATGCCTAAGTAGTTGCATTTGAAGATTTCTTAAGAACTGAATAAATTATTCTGCATAGGATTATGATTATAAAAATCTTTACCTGCATTTTTTAAAAATCCAATGCATAAATAGCTAACTTCAAAAATACCAGTTTAGAATTTTACTGCATGACAGCATTTATGTGGATAATACTCAGGAAGATCAAAATATTCGGTTCCACCACAAAACCGCGGACGACAAAATCGCGGTCGACGAAAGCGCGTATGTGACGTCATCACAGCGCGACGGAAAAGATCGAAAAATGTAAAAATAAAGCGAAAACCTTACCCTAACCCCCCCAAACCTAACCCTTAACCTAACCCTAAACCTAACCCTTAACCTAACGAAAAACCTAACGCTAACCCTTAACCTAACGCTAAACGTAACGCTAACGCTCTAAACCTAACCCTAACTCTTAACCTAACCCTAACCCTTAACCTAACCCTTACCTTTATGTGAATCGGCTTGCTGTAATTTAATTTTTATTTCAATTTTTCGATCTTTTTCGTCGCGTTGTGATGACGTCACATATGCGATTTCGTCGACCGCGCTTTTGTGGAACGCGGTTTTGACGGGTCACGAAATATTCCATTCAAGAATATTCTGACCTTAAAACAGTCGTTCGAAATACAGAACAACAGAATCGGAAGGGACATTTGTAGGTCATCTAGTTTAACTCCCTGCTGAAATACCATTTCAGAAACATGGCTGTCCAGTCTCTTCTTGAAAGCCTCCAGTGATGAAGCACCCACAGCTTCTGAAGGCAACTTCTGTTCCACTGGTTAATTGTTCTCATTGTCAAAAAAATTTCTCCTTATTTCTAGGTTGAACCTCTCCTTGATCAGTTTCCATCCATTGTTCCTTGTCTGGCCTTCGGGTGCTTTGAAAATTTGGACTGTCCTGAACTTGTTCCATACTCAAGCCCACTCACTATGCAACAAATATTCTGTACTTCCCATCTCCCCATTAAGAAAATCTCACTCATTACAAATATGATTAGCTTAGGACTAGCTTAGGAATCATTTCTATTTCTTCCCTATCAATTGATCATGATTAATCCACACAATGCAAATAAATCATTTACAAAATGTTACATGTACTTAATGATGTTCAGTGATAAAACTCAAAACTTATATAATGCAGAATGAGTAGATTACCATTCATTTTTGAATGAGTATCTAATACAGGATCATGACAAACTTTACAGGGCCACCACGGACGTCTGCTGAGCTTGGCCCATACAAGATCTCCAGCTTCATATTTCACTGGAGCAGGTTTCTTCTTGGTTCGACCCTTTGAAATAAAACAAGAAATCACAATAAATCAGTTGCTAAATTAGTTCCCATCCTTCCCCACTGTAAAAGTGCACCATATATATATTGGAAATTAAAATAGTCAAAAGAGTATTTCACTTCAAGGCAAATCTAATCACAAACTTTTGTATAAAGTCACTGTTTTGAACATTTATAAATCATACACTGCAAGATTTTATTTCAGAAAATAAAATAAAAGAAGAAGAAAATCAAAGAAGGCACCAATATTGATATTTTGGTAAATAAATTTATCAACTTTAAAATCTGTGAACAAACCCTAACTAGTATTTCTGCTCTCTTCTGAAAGGAAAGAGCTCTGGTCTTAACAATATTGCCAATAAAAATGGGGAAAGGAATTTATATTACTAACACAATATTTGATCACTGAGATACTTTGTACCTTGTTAGGGCTCTATTAGTAGCAGCTTCTTTAAGACAAATAAAACAACTTTTATTTGCATGAAAGGAAGAACTGGGATCCAGAATCTGCTTTTTTTCCCCTCTCCACAGATCACAGCACACACAAACCAGAACGCAGCTCAAATATTAAAAATTTGCCACAACAATATTGCAAAGGGAGGTAGCAAAATGGCAGACATCCAAAATAATCTATCCAAGCATAAATTTCTTCCACTTAAACATACCATGATCAATGGCATTTTCCTTTGGGAAACTAAGGATGTCGCTATGAAGAATTCAGCATAAATGCAACACATGCAAAGAAATACATTTATTTATTAAATTTGTTTGTTGCCCATCCTGCTGCAAGGCCGATAGTGCTGATATAGATTTTGTTTTACCATTTTAGCCTTACATCATAGATTCACCCATTTAAAGAGTAATGAATCCAATGTTCTTTGCTTCTGAGAAGATGTGCACATGATTGCACTGTTCAGTAATCTCAACAGCTTCCATCTTAACCTACTAAATTAGTGGTGGTGTTTTTCTGTTAAATTAGATGCTCAATCTAGATATGCAACCTCTTTTATAACATAATGCCTTGGTAAGGCCACACTTGGAATACTGCATTCAGTTTTGGTCACCACGATGTAGAAAAGATGTGGAGACTCTGGAAAGAGTGCAGAGAAGAGCAACAAGGATGATTAGGGGACTGGAGACTAAAACACATGAAGAACGGTTGCAGGAACTGGGTATATCTAGTTTAATGAAAAGAAGGACTAGGAGAGACATGATAGCAGTGTTTCAATATCTCAGGGGTTGCGATCAAAGTTTAATGCATATAAAGAGGATATACAATGTATTAGTACAGATGGATTCTGAAACAGAACTAGTTAAAGATTGTATGATAAAGTGGGCTCAAAATATTGAAGAACCAATAATGTTGGATACATGGGAAAGAATTTGGGTAAGAAATGTAAAATGTACACAAGCCCAAAACCTGAGAGAAAATTTTTACAAGATGTTCTATAGATGGCATTTAGATCCTAAAAAGTTGGCTTCTATGTATCCGAATTTACAACCCAAATGTTGGAGATGTGGTTCTCTCGATGCTACATATTTCCACATATGGTGGACTTGCCAAAAGGTTAAGGCATTTTGAATATCTCAGGGGTTGCCACAAAGAAGAGGGAGTCAAACTATTCTCCAAGGCACCTGAGGGTAGAACAAGAAGCAATGGGTGGAAACTAATCAAGGAGAGAAGCAACTTAGAACTGAGGAGAAATTTCCTGATAGTTATAACAATTAATCAGTGGAACAGCTTGCCTCCAGACGTTGTGAATGCCCCAACACTGGAAGTCTTTAAGAAGATATTGGATAGCCATTTGTCTGGAACGGTACAGGTTTCCTGCCTAGAAGATCTCCAAGGTCCCTTCCAACTCTGCTATTGTATTGTATAATTTCCTCCCCTCCCTGGACTGTCCCTGCATTTTTCTCCAATATTCTATACTACCCTCCTTTGCACTGGCCCAATTGGTGTATTACCTATTATGGCAACAACTGGTAGAAATAATACAAAAGCCATGCTTGCTTCTACACAGTCATGGAGATAGAATCTATTTCACATGTGCTATTAAAATATCCCACTGGCAACTGAACTTACTTACTTTTCCCAATTGCTATCCACTTAATATTGTCATTGTGACCAGAATACCATTATCTTTTTTTTTTAATGCCACAAACTTCTTAAGTTTTCACAAACTTAAATTGCAACATTTTTATCCAACAGCTCTTAGAAACCATCTGATTCCTTTCAAATTCTGTTGTTAACTGTTCATTATCTCAGGATTTTCTTTCTTTAATTTTTTTTAATTATATTTATTGTGGGATTGGGTCTTTTTTCTGGGTTTGATCTTGGGCTGCAAATAATAAACCTTGAAGTTTTATCATCATTTTAGGATATTACCATGAGACCATGATTAGTTTACTCATATGGATTTCTGAACTATAATTAATATTTTTAATGGTAGTCATAATTGCAGAGAAATTATATAGGAAAAAAAGAACGTCATGCCATCTGAAGCAGGAATAATGCTACATTCTCTAAAGAGGTATAAACCAGGAGCCCATTGGAGTTGGGTGACCAATGAATGTAAAATAATAATAGTAAAAATAGCAACAAGCCCCTGTACCTATTAGGCAAAATTATTCCCAGGGTCCAACTTTATAACCACAAAACTGTCCACTACTACTCCCTCCTACTGTTTTCTACTACTAAGGAACATTGTCTTTTGCATAAGAATAAAGTGATTTCTATACAATCAGACTTTCTATTTTCAGGAATAATCTATTTCTTTACTACTTCTTAATTCCAGAAACCTTAAAAGCCGTTTTATATTAACCGTTACCAGTACAGTATTATGTGCAGCCTCTGCCTCTAACTAGACTTCATCTGCAGGCAATGACTTCAAGCTTTTTGCCTTCTTCTTCTTTCCTTCTCCAATTTTGAAATCTTGTGTGCCACAGAAGAGATCAAAATATTTCTAAAGCCTTAAAGGCTTAATAAAGATATAGCCATAAAGCAGAGATCGGCATGTAAAAAAATAAATTATCCTAAGTTCCAAAAGAATTTATGCTTCAAATAAATCAGCAAAATCTGAATTAGAAAATGAGACCGTATTATATCCTGTTTGCAGTAAGCATGGGAACGTATTTTGGCTTCCAGAATGAAGAATTAGAGGTTATCAGAATCCCTCAGCAATGGTCAAGGTTGACTCTAGCAACCAGACGATGCCTCTGATCAATGTCTGGAGAAAGAGACGTCTTCACTTTTGCCTTACATAATATATTTTCTATGTTTATGACCAGGCTTATATATAATTAATTCAACATAAGGATTTTGTTTTGTTTTTTACTGGGGAATCCTAGCAGGATAGTAATTGCTAGTCTGGAATGCATTTATTTGTTGAAAAGCATTAGAAAAATAATTCACCAACATTGGCATATTATGCAACCACTGTCAGCATGTACATACATTTTAATTATTGTTTACAAGTTCACAAGCATTACTGGCAATCTTCTTGTTCCTACTGGCATATCAAAGGAAGCTTGTTGCTTTCAATTCTAGACATTTCTTCTGTTAAGGATTGTTAGGAAAGCTCCCCGTTGGGAGAGCGAGTATGTTCAGAGAAGCATTGTGAGAGTTGTATTGGAGAACACACAAACCAGCATACAGAGACACGGCACTTTCTAACAGCCAGCTTCCAAAACACTCAGATCAGATCAACCCAGCATCTAACAAACAGAGAGCTTTCTGGCTCCCTATGGCCGATTGAGGAAAACAGCAACCAATCACAGTTTACAGTATGATTTAAAGAAACAGGTACAACATTGTTACATGATTTATATATTGCCAACCCAACCATTAGAATTATATTCCTAACACCTCCCCTTTCACACACACACACACACACACACACACACAAACACAACACAACTTGCAGACAGAAAATCCCGAGCCCAGTGAATCCTGCTAAACAAACACCGTTATGACACCATGTAAACTTATTGGACGTCACGCCAGCCGCGCAGGTCAATCGTACTATATTGTTGTAGGCAGGGGTGGGTTCTGGCTGCCATTACTACTGGTTCAGTAGTGGGGGAAAAATGCTAGTAATAAGTAATAAAAATAAGGTGTGCATAGAAAGCAAACGCTCAGCATCTTTTTGGGGTGAGGTACAAGTCTAAGACAGAGATATCAACCTAGGATATCAATAACAGCATCGTATTCCTTCCCTCTTTTCAAGCCTTCCAATTATCCTGGGTCCAGCCAAGATCAAACTAGAACAGACACCAACCCCATCTCTGGGAAAGACTTAGTGGACATCCCTTGGAGCCAGTTTGGGGACCATCTGTCCAACTTCGTGAGCTTTCTACGACTCCCAACCAAAAGACCCATCTATGGTAGGAAATGGCCAGGTGTCTCCCAACTAGAAAGCTCACGGCCAGAAATCCAAG